AAAAATCGTCTGGAAATACAGGTATTTTCCAATGACTTGCTTACATCCTATCTGCTAATTATTAAGGCTCTACATATTCTCCTTTAGAATTTACATTCTCTCTTGTTTGGTTCTTCATATTTAAGCAGGTAATTTTCAAATATTCATTTCTTATGTGATAGTTCCAGGAGCTACTGTGAATGTAGAAGGAGAGAGAAGAATCACAGGTGACTCTTAGGTTTTTGTCATTAGCAACTAATATTACCATTTAATAAAACAGAGAAGATGAGAGAAACATGCAGGGAAAGGAATCGTGAGTTATGTTACCTTTGAGGCAGTCAACAGACAGTTAAGTGAACCCGTCCTGAGGGAGCTGAGTGTAAAAGTCCAGAGTGTCATAAAGGATATGCATGGTGCTAAACAATTTGGTACGTTTCCTACTTTATTTTCAGTATTTCACTATAAACTCACAGGATATTAAAATGTTTATATAAATACTGTTTGAAGCAGCATGTTTACAATTCCTCAGACTGCATGGGAGCTCATTCCTGCCTGCCTTCTCAGAAACTTAGTGCTTTGGTTTTTTTTTTTTTTTTTTTTTTGTTACTGGGGATCAAACTCCGGTCCTTGTGCTTCTGAGGCAGGCAGCAGAACCACTGAGCTGAATCCCCAGCCCCTTAATGTTCTTAATCTGTATCCCTCTCCTATATATTGTCTTTCCTACTTGGCTTTTATTTTTGTTTTTTGAGACAGGGTCTCACTATGTAGTTGAGACTTACCTGGAACTCAAAGCAATCCTCCTGCCTCAGCCTCCCCAGTGTTGGGACTACAGGTGTGTGCCACCATGCCTGACTACTTGGCTTTTAAAACATGCTCAAGTCTCTCCTATTTTAAGAGCAGGCCTGTACTGATACTATGTGCTTCATTTCAACCTCTCCTACTGCCTAATCCATTCTAGCCTAGCAATTAGCCATAACATTCCTCCAAAAGAGAATTTGCTGAACTCATCAATGAAAACCAAACCCATTGTTCACCAAATGACCTTTCAGCAGCAGCAGACACCCATGATCTTTCCTCTCTGAAACACTGCTAATGCCTGTTAGCATGGGCTACCAAATGACTCTTAAATGCACTGACTGTACTCACATATACAATGCTTTTGAACCATTTTCTTTTCTTTTCTTTTTTTTTTTTTTTTTTTTTGTTCAAACTTGGGACCTTGAGGTTTCAAAGCAGGCGGCTGAACCACTGAGCTAAATCCCCGGCCCCAAACCATTTTCTTTTGGATATCTCAAAAATACTAATGTCCAAAATTAAAATAGTGATCTTGCCTTTAAGTCTAATCTTACCTCAGCACTGTATCATTGAATGGCACCACCCCTGCTTTCCTTCCTTCCTTGCTTCCTTTGTACGGGGGTGCTTGAGGCAGGTGGTGGAACCACTGAGCCAAACCCCCGCCCATGGCACCACTATCTCAACGTGCAAACCAGAAACCACAAGATATCCTTGACACCTGTCCTCTCCTTCTCCATAGCCAAGGTATCAGCAAAAGCTATAAAATTTGCCTAAATATTTCTGGAATTTATGCACATCTCTCCATTTTCATCATAGCAATTCTGATGCAAGTTTGGAAACAACAGCTTTTGGGGGGCTTTTATTAACAAACTTTTTCCCCCAGTACCAGAGATCGAACTCAGGACCTTGCACTTGTGAGGCAGATGCAGTGCCACTGAGCTAAATCCCCAGCAAGAACAAGCTTTTCAAAATGCAATTTCCACTCTCACTGTTTTTGAGATAAAAGAGAAACGTTAGTATAGCTTACAAAAGGCTACTTGATTATTTCATTACCACATCCTTGAGGATTTCTCATTTTACCCATCAGTTTATAAACAAGGTCTAGTATGACAAAGCTTGTGCAAAAAACAGTGCCTAGAACATGAAACTCAATAAATATTTGTTTATGGCTGGGGAATTAGCTCAGTGGTTCCACTGTCTGCCTCACAAGTACAAGGACCTGAGTTCAATCCCCGATACCAAAAAAAAAAAAAAAAAAGTTCAAAAATGTATAAATGAATGAATGTATGGATAATAAAAAAGACCAGTCAGCAAAATAACCAAACACTGATAGGGGTTTGTCTGTGTAGTAAGGCTACTGTGATTTATATTTTACTCTCTAAAGCCAAACTAAAAATTAACTTTGTAAGCATTACTGCTCTACTAGTAGTTAACTGAAAGCTGACTTATATCTTTTATTTATTTATTTATTTTTTAGTTTTTTTGAAACAGGGTCTCACTATGTAGTTGAGACTGACTTGGAACTCACTATGTAGCCCAGGCTGGTCTTGAACTCACAGTGATCCTCCTGCCTCAGCCTCCCCCGTGCTGGGATTACAGGCGTGTGCCACCACGCCCGGCTTTTTAATAATTAATTAATTAATTAATTTTTTGGTTTTTTTGAGACAGGGTCTTACTATGTAATTGAGAGTGACCTGGAACTCACTATGTAGCCCAGGCTGGTCTTGAACTCACAGCAATCCTCCTGTGACTTATATCTTTTAGAAAAATATTCATGTTCAATAATTATCTGTTGACAGGAAATATTTTAAAAACCCTTGTAAATAAAATAGCTGTTCTAAATAACATAACTGTATTGTTTCAGCAATATAGTAAGACATAATTTTCTTAGTAACTAAAGTCATGAGGATTATTTTGTTCTGAATTTATGACTAAAAGGAAATAAATTTCTAACATATAAAATGATTATCACATTAATTGCATGTAAAAGCTACTACTTTCCTTCTTTTAAATTCAGATATGGCTACATAATCAAACAAGGTAAACAATACAGAACAGAGATATAAAATACAGAACAGAAAGTAGAAGTATGCCATAACCCTTCCCCCATACCCTAATAGCACACTCAGAAGAAATCACTGTTGTTCTGTGTACACCCTTCCATACAGCATTTTCTGTGCATCTATACAAGAAGGGTCCTCAGTTCCAGGACCCACCATGGACACAAAGCATATGATGCTGAGATTTTTTTGTTTTTAATGTAAAATGGCATATTTACATACAAACTATGCACTTCCTCCAACAGAGTATCTGTAGGTTCCTTATATACCTAATACCATGTAGATGCTATGTAATACTTATGCTATATAAACTAAAATGTTTTAGGAATAATGAGCAAAGACAAAACAAAAACAATGTCCATACATGTTTAGTATAAACACAGGATTTTTACCCCCTAACCTGTGGTTGGCTGAATCCATGGTTTTTGGAACCCTCAGATACAGAGAGCAGACTAGATGTGTACATGTCTGCACATAAGCAGAAAAGAGATTTTTGGGCTGGGGGAACGGCTCAGTGGTTCTGGGTTCAACTGCCAGTGGCACAAAAAAGAAAAACATTTAAAAACACATAAATTACATAATGCTGTATATTATGTTTGTTAACTTTTTTATTTAATGATGTCTTAAAGAGTTTCCTGTCCTGGTAAAAATACCTCCTCTTCCGCTGAACATCTCAACTGCATTGCAAAACATTTTAATTATGCCCCTATTAAGCTGGATCATTTCCACCATGAAAACTCCACATACCTGATTTCTGTACTGGTTTTTTGGAAGTGCTCAGGATCAAACTCAGACTCACATTTTTCTCTCCATGTTAAATTTGGTTAAATAATACCATACCACCTTCTATGGTGAGTGACCACAGCATTTTAGACTTCTCCCAATAGGGGAAGATTGATCACCTGCTACATTTTCATAAACATTTGTTATTCAAGTGCAAACAAGGTATTCAGCATCATGGACCAAGAAACTTCTGGAAGACTTAAGAGTCAACTAAATTCAAATCTATGGCTCGGCAATTTAGTAAATCATTTTTTTCCTTTGAGATTATAGAAATTAAAATTTTTAACAGGCAAGTGCCAGAAAGGTCATTGGCAAGATATATATGGAATAATGGCTCCTAACTTCCATTTCTATTAACAAGTCTCAGAATTAATCAAGGTTTTTCTTTTGATGTGTCAGAGTAGAGAGTGGGTACTGCTTTGAATCAACAGGAGCACACCTATTTTGGAAACTTTTCTCTGTTGGTTCTATCTGTCTTCTAGTAATCCTGAGATTGGCAAAGACACTGGAGAATAAGAATTTGGCACTAGTGTCCCTGTGAGTGGGTTGTAGGTGGAACTATGATTAGGAATGATATAAAGCTGTTCCTTTCAGGCAAACTTTAATATCACTTATTCTTAAATCTTTGACACAGAAATAGCAAATTTTAGGCAAGGATGTAAGGGACATAAAAGAATGTCAGAGCCGTGGGTGCTGAGAATAATAAGGCATTTTTTTTTTTTTTTAACCAAATGACATTCTGGATCATTAACTGGATCATTAGTTGCCTTTTTTTTTTTTTTTTTTTTTTTTTAGAAAGATAAGGGTCTAGTTTTTTTGTTTTGTTTTGTTTTGTTTTTTGGTACCAGGGATTGAACTTGGGTCCTTGCGCTTCCAAGGCAGGCCACCGAACCGCTGAGCTAAATCCCCGGCCATATCACTAGCTGCCTTTTAACCTGCAGCTCAGAAGCAGATGCCTGACACTGCCCAAAACTTGCATCTATTTCTCTGCCACTAGGAAATAAGTTTCAAAAGCATAAGAATCTTTGTTTCATTCACTGATTTCTCAACCACAGGGAACACTATTAGATGCTTAATAAATACTTCTTGAAAGGACAGCAGAACTAAATATCAACAGGCAGTGCATGACACTCTGAAGCAAGGGGCAAATACATTAACTAATAAAACTGAATTCCTTTTCAGAAGGTTAATTTCTAGACTATAATTTCTTCCCTCTTTGGAATTCTATATTTTGCCTCACACTCTATTTTACTAACATTAAAACAATAGATCAGGGTTGGTTTGTTTGTTTTGTGGTACTGGGAATTATATCCAGAAGTGTTCTACCATTGAATTACTTCCTCAGCCCTTTTTACTTCTTCATTCTGAGACAGGGTTTCCTTAAGTTACCAGGCAGGACACGCACTTGCAATCCTCCTGCCTCAGCTTCCATTAGTGGATTACAGGTACGCACCTCTGCACCCAGCAAACAATCAGTTTTGAACATGACTTTAAGTTTGGCTTTGCCTTGTAAAAAACTGTCCCTAATAATGTATTGAAAACATAAATAGAAAAAGCAAGCAAAAATTATTTTCAAAACCTATGTTGACTGATGTAAGTAATGTGTAAGCTTAATATAATTAGGGCATTTCTTCTTGTTTTTTTAAACAACATTTAACAAAGCAAAGACAAAAAGAGAATCATTTAATTTACCTTTATGGATGAAGCAGCATAGAGCATATCTTCCAGAGTGAAATGGCAACACTGGTTCAAGTATTCTTGGCAAAATTCTTGAATCAGCTGCAGATTATACAGGCTATCAGCCAAAGACATAGTTTCTTTCAAACAAATATCTTCAAATACAAAAAGAGCAAAGTGAAGATTTGAAGTTAATTTGAGAAAAATTTTATGTCTACTTCTTAATTAGTGGCAGCACAAATAACACAATTTTGTGGAATTTGTTTAACAAACATACACTTACAAACATATTGGTTATTACACAGAAATTCTCCACTATTTTCCTCAGAATTACACAAATGTATTTTTAAAGCCTCCATACTAATTAAATATTGAAATATCTTTTAATCATCTACCTAAAATTCGGAAGTATTTCACTAGAACACTTACCCTCTAATCTGACAACACCAGGAGAGTAAAAATGAATAAGGGCAGCTAGCGCACAGCCATCTGTACCGTCCTTTAACAAGTTTTCTACCAGTGGAATGCAAGGCAATTGCTTAAGCAATGTCTGCTCCTTCCTGTAACGAGCCTACAATGAGAGTGAGAGAGAGGTAAGTACTAAGGAACATAAAGGGAAAAAAAATCAGGACTGTGGATTCTAGTGTATCAGTTAATAAAATATAAGTCAAGAGAAGTTAGAACTCACCAATATCCTTTCATAAACCATACTAGATTTTACAAAAGCACACAGAATATTTAATATATGCTAAATATGTAATGTATTACTGATTTACATGAAATAACATTTAGCTTACATAAAAAGTATTACTAAACAGATTTGAATTCTTTCTTGTTCTGCTCATTTGCAGATTAAAATTTTAATTTTATATCAGATTTAATTTATACTGACAATTCTTACACAAAAAAGACATAGTTTTTACGTAGAAAGAGCAAATGTACCAAGGGAGCAGAAACAATTATGAGAATTATCAAAACTGGGGCCAGGTAGAAGAATACACTACTTTTAAAGGAAATCTGGAGATAAAGAAACATTAAAGAAACTGGAACCACAGTACCAACATACTCTGAGCCATCATTTCAATGTTGAGATAAAGGAAAGTGTTAACTTTGAAACTGAAGAAACAACAACAACAAAATTCCCCAATCTGAGTTTCATTAATCAATCATTGTTGCTTATAAGGGTTCCTGCTCTCCCTGAGGAAAACAGAAGAAATCTATAATTTCAAAAAATGCTTCGTGTAGCAGGGCACAGGTTTCTAAAACATCACCCTAAAAAAGCAGCTAAGAGAATAAACTCGAGTCAGACTACCTGAACTGAGATCCCAGTTCTGACATTTACTTACTTTGTCTCCTGAGACAAGTTACTTAACTCTTACATCTCATTCCCCCCTCCTGTAAGATGGGGACAGGAATAGCATCTGCTGTACTTCCCAGACCCACTGGAGGACTGGGTATGACGATGGATACGAAGTGCTATGCACACTGCTGGATATGTGACAGCAACCAATAAAGGTTACCTGCTATTATCTGGTGACTCCCTTCCACAAGAAAAATAATGCTGGAGATTTAGTAATTAAGCATACGGTGTATTTTATTAGCAACATTTATTATTGATACTTAAAGTCATTTAAAAAAAGGTAATCAAAACTAATTTTTCTCCTAAATCCATCTAAACTGGTCACCTCTACATTTTATAGTTAAAATATAATCATGAGAGAGAATACTATTGTGAGAATAAAAATAGAAACATTTAAATTTACTGAAAAGAACATTTAATATTGGTGGTAGAGTTAGGCTTCTTTAAAATGACATTCTGCTTCTCCCTCACTGGCTACCCAAGGAACAAGATTCATGGAATGGGTTTTCCTCTTGCAGATTTTTGGAGGAGCCTGTTCTTATTAATCAGTGCAACCTATACATCTGTTTTATGGCGTATTCCTAACTCAGTGCCTACATTCAGAAAATAATTCCACAGGGATCCTTGGATTACAAGATCCTTAAAAAACCTCCTCACTTTGTTCCTCACAATTTAAAATTCAGCCATGGAAAGAGGAGAGGAGAGGGAAAAGGAAATAGGAGAAAAAAGAGGACAGGAAAAAAATAACCAACCAGTAGAATATTTAAGCCTTAAGCTACCTTTCTCACATTCAGTAAGCACTGTTCCAAATCTTCACTCTCTTTTGGGTCATCTAGCATCAAAACAGTTTGTATATTGGACATCATATAAACTGTGCTTGACTCAGTAACAAACCTCCCAGATCTTATGAATATGAATAGCTTGCTTTCAGCCTACAATCCAAATTAGACTGAAATATATGCCCAGGGTCATGAAACAAAGAACCAAGTTGTGTGCCAAGAACACTTCTGGACAAACTGTGTGTGTAGGACATTGTTACACATATACACAGCTTTTTATGGTACTAGCAAAAACTATGGTTTAGACTAATCAGAAAATTATGAGTGGTGTGGCAGAATACTTTCCTTAAGATACACCAGGTAAACCAAACTTACCCTTAGTTCATCTGCAGTTCATGAGAGTTACAGGCCCTTCTGTACTTGAATGAACTATGTGTTTTATAAACTCACTGCATGAGAACATTTCCTATTCCTTCTACAAATTTAAAAATTTGTTACTTAAAAGAAGGCCTATATTTTCTAGATGTCATTGTCTTGCATTTCTAAATTACATTTTTATTCCTGAAGGTGTAAAATAGTTCTTAAATAGTTTAACTCCCTATATATCTTTACAATTCAGACTGAAAATGTGATCCTATCACAAAGATAATTTAAAAATACAGATAATTTACACATACAATTGAAATTCACTTTTCCTAAAATTATTAAAATCAGTAAGACTACATCCTCTAGGTTGTTTTTGTTGTTATTTGTTCTATTTGTTGATACTCTGTAAATGCCAGTGAAATTGGCAAAATGATGCTTACTCTTTAATTTTTTAAACTTTTAATGCAGATTTTGGGTATGCATACTACCTTTCCATATTACAATATGATTACATATCTTAAAACCCTATCTCTACTCAGTGACCAACAAAATTACATGAAATGACAGCAAGATAAACAGTAACATTCTACAGTTACAGTTCTGGAAAGCAAATTGAAGTAGCTGGGCAAACTTACTGGAACCAGTTTCCAAAACCATTTGGAAGGAGACTTCAGAGGAAGCAGCAGAAAAAAGGCGGAAAGCAAAGGGAAAGGTAAAGGGAACATTCATCAGAGTTATTTTAATTAACACATAGCAGAGCTTGTCATAGTGAAATTCCAAGTTCACAGTTCTCATAACATTTCTTCATATGTTAATTGTTTAATTAAAAAAGAGATTCCTGATAATGACCACCACCTTCTCCTGCCTCCCCCCCCATAGAATTTTATTTCTGAGTTTTAGAATCATGTATCATACTGAAAAATGAATCTATAAAATGATTATAAAAGGTAAGTAAAAAGATTCTAGATATTTGCAATGATAATTTTTAGATAGTAGCAGACCAAGTCTGATAAGGGAGTATTTTTACCAAAGGGAAATGAAGATTATATTTTAAAAATACAATGATAGAGCAAATAACAATATAATAGAATTTACTCAAAATATAAATGTTATTGTTAATTTTACTGAGGGTGTACTAAAGAATATGATTGCTCTTCTTTGAAAAAATGAAATTATAACAAACCTATAATCCCAGATAATGGGAATAATTTGTGAACATTTATCTTCGTACTTTCCCCAAAATTTTCTGGCACCCTGAATATTTTTGAATTGAGCCAAAGTAGATGAAATCTGAGTTAAAAATGTCATATTCAATTTTTACATAGGAAGTTTTTCCTGTATAGACCATAAAAATAATGAGTTTTGGAAAAATAAATTAGTTATCTTCAAGAATTTTAAGAATTAGAAAAATGTCATCTCAAGAATAAGAAAAGCCGGGCATGGTGGCGCACGCCTGTAATCTCAGCACTCGGGAGGCTGAGGCAGAAGGATCGCTGTGAGTTTGAGACCAGCCTGGGGTACATAGTGAGTTCCAGGTCAGTCACAACTATAGTGAGACCCTGTCTCAAAAAACAAACAAACAAAAAAAGAATTAGAAAAATACTGGCTTCCCCAAAATCGACAACATTTCCAATAAATTTTTCTTATAGCACAAGGAATGACCCCAGTAATTTTGTTGAATGGCTCTTAATTGCCCATTTAAAAGAAAGTTTTTAGTAACTACAGCCATAAAAAGTACAAGAACAGGATAAAAGAGCAGGAAATCACTGAAGTATGTCAGGGCCCCTAATTTATAATAGAAAATTTAAAGTGTTTCTTGTTTTCTAGACTAGAAGAACCCACTACATCAAAACTGGTGATAAAAAATTATCACAGACTGCTCATAACAGCAAGTATACACAAGAGTTTCTAATGGTTCGAGTTACTTCAAATTTCTTATGAAATATTCAGTAACTGGATTTTTTATTAGTGCAGAATATTGTGCCCTTCCCTTTACGCCTTCTCGCCACTGGTCTAAAGTGGTGACAGCTTCTTATTAGAGGAAAGACCACACAGATTTGCCATGCGAGGGAAATGCGACAAGCAGTGAATGTCCTAAAAACTCATTTGTGCTGTGCGCGCTTAAATGCTTATGCTTCAAAAGGTTCAGTACACAGCACAACTCCCCTGTGGGAGAGTAACTGTTGCTGAAGCGATCAGCAATTATCACCTTCTGTTTTTCAAGAACAGGGCAAAATGCAACAATGAATCCTGTTTTAATATGCAAATAATTAAGAGAACAAAGTTTCTTCTATTTTAAAATCATGGATATCAAGTAAAAAAAAAAAAAAACAAAAAACTTTAAGTAGGTCTCTACCTACAACAAGGACCATCCTGGGCACTGCAGATTTTCTGTAATAGTTCTTATCTCAAACACTCACGTCTACCGTCTTCATAATACAAGTTTGGCTCTCCCTAATTTGTTTGTATTTCAAGATTTGACTCTAATACTCACCAAACAGTTCTCTGTCTTCCTCTGGGAAGCTATATTCACTCTAAGACATGGTATGATTCCTGAACTTCTAATACATATGCATACACCCTCCCGTCTAGGAATCTAACTTCAGGAAATTTATCCTGAAAATCTGCTGCAGTAAAAATGAATGAAAATTTCATGGGACTGTATAGAGTTATTCCAGGATATGCTGTTACTGAAAAATGAAAACACAAAAGAATAAATGTTGTGTTTTGTGTCAGAAAGGAAGCAGAAAGGACACATGCACACACGCGCTTGTTCACCTACAAGGGCTGGTGTAGAGTGAGGAGCAGAAGAGGAGCGCCCTGGGACTTTTACAGCTCTGGCTTTATGCCAACGTTCTGCATGTGCAAAGAAAAAAATTAGGTTGGGTTTAGCTTAGTGGGAGAACACATGCTTAGCATGGAAAAAGCCTTGGGTTTAATTCAAAGCACCAAAGAGCAATCAATCAATTAGCAAGGATGAGGCCCCCCAAAAGAGCACTAAAATAGAATAAAAACAAAAACCAATCAACCCAAATGAACTAATATAGCCACAATGAAGATAGGATAAGGAGAAATAAGTAATTTTAGAAAACAATATTTTGGCTATATATTACCTATCTAAAGAAAGAAATGGCTGCAAATAAACTTAAGTTCTTCTCAGTTGGTTTATTTTCATATTAGCATGAAACGCTTTCCTATGTATTGTAAGATCAAACAAAAAATAAAGAATATTGTTACTGTTAGAACTCTGAATTCACAGTATGAGAGTAAGATGGAATACTGAAAAGAAACAAAGACCTCAGTGGAGTTACACTGTAAGTTTATACATGAACTCATGATGATATATTTAATTTTATTTCTGAGTTCTGTCTACTGAAATAAGGCCCAGAAGTAGTAATGTCCCAGTAACAATGAAAGTCTAGTGCCCAGATTTTATGGATGACTTGTTTTACAAAAGAACGGTGAGTGACGTAGAAGAAATGGGGAAGTTAGAAAATTGCTGTTTTAACTATCACAGTAAAAACTAATGCAGGCAGGTATCATCAATGAATGCTAAATCCAGGGTGAGAAGACTGAGGAGGAACAGAACATCTACAATGGCAAATTATTTTCTTTCAAATTACTTATTACATGAGGAAAAATAATGACAATGTACTCAAGAAATGAGACAGTATCTTTTTTTTTTTTTGGTTTTTTGAGACAGGGTCTCACTATGTAGTTGAGACTGACCTGGAACTCACTTTGTAGCCCAGGCTGGTCTCTAATGCACAACGATTCTCCTGCCTCAGCCTCCCAAATGCTGGGATTACAGGTGTGCGCCACCACGCCCAGTTTACGAGACAGTATCTTAACCAATTAACATCATCTACTAGTGGTAAATGGATATAATGCAAATTTGGATATGATACTGCGAGGACACAATTTACACAGCATTCCAGTCTGAATATTTAGTCTTTAATTTTGTTGAAATATAAAAAAGTCAAGGCATGCATGAAAAAGAAAAGGTTAAGGAACAGTTTCAGTCTAAAGAAGAATAGAGAGTGGGCTGGGGATTTAGCTCAGTGGTTCTGCTGCCTGCCTTGCAAGCGCAAGGTCCTGAGTTCGATCCCTGGTACAAAAAAAAAACAGAATAGAGAAATGACAACTAAATACATTTATGATCTTTAACTGGATCTTATACTTGAAGAAATATTATGAAGTACAATTGGAACAACTGGCAAAAAGATAATACAAACTACAAATTGCATTAAAGTAGTACTGTATCAACATTAAGTGCCTATATAGTGTGGCTATTTATATAAATAGCCTTGTTCTTGGGAAATATACAATGATGTAAGGGCCATGCATGTCACATGCGACTTCCTTTCAAATGTTTAAAAAAATAACATATCTGTGCTTGTGTGCATGAAGAGAATAATAAAGCAAATTTATCAAGCTGTTAAAAAATTGAAGAATCTCAGGAGGCTGAGGCAGGAGGATCTCCATGAGTTTAAGGCCAGCCTGGAATACAGAGCAAGTTCAAGGCTAGCCTGAACCATATAATGAGACCCCGTCTCAAAAAAACAACAACAAAACAAGTAAAAAAAAAAAAAAATTGAAGAATCTGCATAGTTGAGGGTTTTTTACTTTTTGCAATTTTTCATAATTCTGAAATTATTTCAAAATAAATATTCCTAAAGCAAAGACTTTGTAGGGTCTTATGTCTAAATGACAAGACTACTGATCAATAAAACTGCTGGAAAATCTAATTGGTGAAATACTTTTAAATAATGATTAAAATGGTGTACCATTTCCAAATTAAGAAAGTATTTCCTGCCTAACTATACAAAATAACTTGACAGCAGAACAGACACATATATTTTCTAGATCAGGGTATTGTGTTTCCCATAAAGGAAAAAATTGTTATAAAAAAGAAAAGATGTATTAACAGTGGGTATAAAAATGGAAAAAAATACTGTTATAGAAAGATGCTCTCTCAAGAATAGATTACTACAACAGACTCTTAGGGGTAGGATTCTGAATAAAAATGATCAGGCATATCAAATCTTCATAATTTTTTAACTGAAACAATGGTATGTAAAAGAAAACCAAGGCAAGTCTAAAACTGAAGCCAAATGATGTATCTGAGAATAATGTACTACATCTGAGCGTTAACTGCTTATTTGATATATTTGTAATGTTAGACAACCAAGACTACAAACCAGTGTTTTCCAAAGTATGCTCCAAAGAACACTAATTCTTTAGACTGTCAACAGATGTCTTTCAAGAGTGCTCAAAGATAAAAAATGTTTGAGTACTAGCTAGACCAGCTTTCTGAGCTTTTATTGTATTAAAATAGCTTGTAATCTTTGTAAAGGGCCACAGACCAACCAGCATTTCCTGAATATATTTGGCTTCAGATCCCTTCTCTCAAATAGTACATTAACGTATTGTCTGAAGAGACAGCTTGAAGAAAAAACTGGGCTGTAATTTTTAATTGTTAAAGAATTGTGGTCAAGGGAGAAATTCACACACCGAAGTAATCACCAGGTGAGCTCTATAAGCACTCATCTACCTCTGGGGAAAGTACAGCCTACTCTGAGCCTATTCCAGTGAAAAGCAATTACAGCTCAAATGAAAGTCCTTCTCCAAAGATGATTATTTCATCTAATTCCCATCCCCATCAATTTATCTCTCTCTCACTCTCTTTTTTTCTCACTACCAGGGATCAAACTCAGGAACTTACACTTGAGAAGCAGGCAGCGAAACCACTGAGTTAAATCCCCAGCCCAAATTTATCTCTGTAAAATACCCCACAAACTACCTCTTTAAAAAGTGGCAAATGCCACAATGAATAAACATGTATCTGTTGAGAAACACTAAAATTCTCTCTATTGATAATGTAGTAAGAATATAATCCTGCCAAGCGTGGTGGTGCATGCCTGTAATCCCAGCACTTAGGAGGCTGCCACAACAGGAGGATCGCTGTGAGTTTGAGGCCAACCTGAACTACAAAGGGAGACCCTGCCTCAAAAAACAAAAAAACAAACAAACAAAAAAAAACCCAAAAAGAATACAATTCCAGGAATTCATAACTTTTTCAAAAATGATACTCCCAGAGAGCTTGGCACAGTATGTCAGGAGTTCAAGGTCAGCCTGGGTGACAACTTAAAACAAAACAAAACTCTCCAATTGACTGACTCAGTAACTCCAAATTGTGCCTTTTAGGGGCTAGGGATATAGCTCAGTGGTACAGCATTGACCTAGCATGTACAAGGCCCAAGGATCAAACTCAAGGGCCAAAAAAAAAGAAAAATCAAAATCTAAAATATGCCTTTTATTTGCAATTTACTGTCTCTTTCTGTTACTTCCCAAGACCCAGGGCCCTCCTTTCCAAAAATACCTTTTTTTTTTTTGCAGTGGGGATCATACTCAGGTCTCTCACATGCCAGGAATGTGAGAGCTCTACCACTGAGCTCTCCCCCAGTACCCTTTCCAAATATTACAAAACCTACCGAGCACATTGTCTAAAAAGTCTTCACAGAAGTTTTGTTCATACAGTTATCATAATCTACTCATAATAATACATATATGGAAAAGTTTATGAAAACCACACTTTATTTTCTTTAATCTTTTTGAGTCTCATGTTTATTAATGTATTGAGAAAAAAATGAATCATTTTAGTCACAGAATTTAGAAACCATTCAACTCAGTTTTTTCAGGGTGTTTGTTTGTTTGTTTGTTTGTTTTTGGTACCAGGAATTGAGCTCAGGGCTTCGCACTTGCCAGGCAGGCACTGCACTGCTGAGCTATGTCTCCAGCCCATGGGCTTCTGACATTAACAAAGAAAGTAAAGTCCAAGGAGGTCAAATGCCTTTGTAAAGGTCATGAAGCTAGTTAATGGCAGAACTGCTGTGATTTTTTCAGGGAGTATTTATTTTATCATAGTACTCTGTGAAAACCTGTAAGAATGCATATGTTACCTTGGCCACAAACTTAAGAGATCTGTAGAGCTCCCAGACTTAGCAAATACAAATTCAGAGATGCTCAAGTGTTATCAGACACTCGTGCAACTTACATCAAGAATTTGTTCCGCCGCCTGCCTCACACGTGCAAGTACCCGAGAGTTTGATCCCCGGTAAAAACAAACAACAAAAATTTGTTTATCTGGAATTCAAATTTAGTTGAGAATCCACTTTACAGTGGAAGGTCTATTAGAAGTAAAAAGAAAAAACCAATCTGACAAAAAAGGAGAAAATAATAGTAAACAAAACATTTTCTGAGATATGGGCACTACCTGACATGATTTCCTTAGGATATTAATCAAGCCAACAATTAGACATTATCATCAGAGGATCTAATAACCTAAAGGGACACCTAGTGGAATCTTTACTTTTGGTCTACCCTATAGCACAATTACCCTTAAAAAAACAAACAAACAAACAACAACAACAACAAAAAAACAAGCCAATGTGGTGTCACACACCTGTATCCAAGCACTTAGGAGGCTGATGCATAAGGATTGCTGAGTTTGAGACCAGCCTGGACTACATAGTGAGATCCTGTCTCAAAACACATATGCATCCATATATGCATATTTTGACAAGAGTATGTTTATAAAATTAAGTTTCATCAAATTCTTTTTTGGGGGGGTACTGGGGATCAAACTCAGGACCTTGCACTTCAGAGGCAGGCATGGTGCCACTGAGCTAAATCCCTGGCTCTCATCAAATTCTATTGGACATTTTAAGCTGACAAGAGTTGGGCAAGGACAAAAGGTACGCCATATTATCCAACATCATGGCCTCTGGCTGTAGCAGGTAAGTAACAGAAAACAGGGGCAGGCATTTGAGTGTCTCACAGACAAGCTAGCTGAGACAGGTAGAGAGATGCAACTTCTTATGAACTACAGAGTAATAAAAACAAGTCATGATAGCCTTTATTTCTAAGCAGAAAACAACTGCAGATTTTGCTTTTGCAGGATTTAAATCAAGAATGGAGAAATACTTCTAGCCAAACCAAGTAGCTCAAATGCCAAAAATCCCTTTATAAACTATCAAATGCTAGCTTATAAAACTAGCAAGACTCCTCCCTAGTTTATTCTGTGATGGTATGTTTCTTTGTAAGAATGACATCTGGACATGTGGTAAGACTCAGAAATTAACACTTACTTTCAAAAATATTTAACACAATGGAAAGATGAAACTCATTTGAGAATGATATAAATGCTACATATTTCTTAACTTAAAAATGCATACTATCCAGATATTTTTAAATGAATCATACAATTATTAATTTAATCACTCATTCAGAAAATACTGTCAGCCCAGTTAATACGTACAATTGGCTTGGGACTAAGTGCTACAAAAAAGTGGCATAAGAGAAACAGTGTTTAAATTCCATAGTTAATTTCTCTTAAAAAGTCACTCAATCTAGTTGTCTGAAACACAAATAGTGTTTTTTCCCACAGAAATAACATTTACAGGTTATGTCAGTATATAAAAATCTTCATTAATTCACAATGTGCATATAATAACATAGTTTAACCATTACATATGATAAGTAAGGTTTATTAGGAAAAACTTCATTAATGTTATAAATTAGAATAAAGCTACCTTTAAACATATTCCTAAGAGCCAGAAACAAAAACCTGAGAGGCAAGGTTACGTGTATCTCCAAGGCAAAGGTTTCAACTCCTACATCATGGGAAAGAGAAAGTGAGCAAAACCAAGAAGAAAGGACTGGGGGATGTGAGAGACAGGGACAGAAGTTGTTTGAAAGGAAAATGAAACATGTGGTCTGGGGTAATGGAAAAAAAGGAGACTCCCACTCTGCTCTACCTTAGTGGCAAAGACCTCAACAAAGATGAAGGATTTACACAACGTATTTACAAGAGCTAGTCAGTAAGATAGAGGGGAAATCAGTGTTCTCAAACATTAAATTAAAACACACTTTTTAGGTGATCCTCCACAAAAATTTTCCTATTGGATTTGATAGCAGACAAAACAATTTCCTTTTTTTCATTTACCTCCTTCTCTTCTTATGAAGGTGTTGATGACTAATAGGAGAAGCTCAAAATGAACAGAAGCACTGTGTAATACTGAAGAGACTTAATACAAATGGAAAATATGGTCTCTGAATAAGTATAATTCTTTATACTTCAATTCTAATACCACATGTGTTTAAAATATACTCATTACAATACACTTTAAAAGGTATAAGAAACACTATTATTGTGAAAATATACTTTGGGTATAGTATATGAAAAACAGAATTCAGCTTTCAAAGAAGAAAATTCTAAGAGCACATTTGTGAGTTTAAAAAGAATAAACTCATGTTAATATTTGTTCCCTTACAAAATAATCATACAGCTCAAAACTCCAGGAATATTATTTTTTTCTTTTTAAAAATAATTTTATTTTATCCCATTCCCTGCTAAACCCCTTCCCCTATGTACAAAAGCTTTGTTCCATGAATATTATTTTAAAGGCTGGTCTTATAGCAAGTTATTATAAAAGCTGGTATGTTTAAAATTTTGTTGTTGTTGCATACATTTTGCCAAAATGTATGTAAAAAAAAGCCATTATTTTTTGCTTAAAGCACTTTAGAAACTAAGGTCTAGTGATCAATAATGTTTTTCACAAATACTATTGTCCAACTACCCATCATTTAATATTTCTACTTAACTTAAGTGTTCCTGGCATGGCTTCCCTGGGTACAGTTAACAGCATTAAAAGAAAAACTTGAGTCTAAATGTTTCTCAAAATATTATGTGTGTGTGTGTGTGTGTGTGTGTGATACACACACAGTATCGAATTGCATTTTTTCCTCTTGAAATACTTACCTTTTGACCACCAGGAGTTTCAACTGTGTGATGTTCTTTCAATTTTTGTTCTTGTTCCATTATGTCTTTCAAATGTTCATTTACCTTAAAATATAAAAACATTAATGTGAACTTATACTCAAATATAACAATAAAATAACATATAGCTTCAAAATGCCTGCAGTAAGACTGCTGATGTCAAATATGAATAACAGTCAAAGAAAATTTCATTTTCACAATCACACACAAAAAAACCTTACAGACAAGTGACTTTTTTGATATTCTAAAATTAATTTATCAAATACTAGATGACAGAAACTGGTCAGAGTGCTAGAGAAAAAAGGTGTACACAATAATATCAGTTTCAAAACTAAAAAAGCAAAATTTATGTAAACATTCTGCAACTATTTAGAGCTACTAAATGTAAATTACTATCTCTAAAATTAAATGTTTTATTATCAACTGAAAACGCTGCGAATCAAATTCTGAAGCTGTGATTTCACAGACATGTCCACAGATTACAGGTGAGTTTTACTGCATCATAAATCCAGTTAAACAAATGCACAATTTTTTCATGAAAACTTCTGGGAAGAATGTCTAACAATACCTATTATCAGGTGACCCAAGTAGCCCAAAATCTAAAAAAGGTTAAGAAACAGTGTAGTCAGTGCAAAAACTGTTTTTTAGGCAGACTTTAGAGATGGGTGTGGTCTACATTTTTTTAAAAATTAATTTTATTGGTACATTTAAGGTACACAATATAATGACATTCATCACTGGAAATTTGCACCTTTACATAATCCATCTTGGTTCTTATTTTTTCCCCATTCTCCTAATCTTAGTACTAAGGAGACCAGGACAAGAGGATCACAAGTTCTGGGCCAGCTTGGGCTACATTGTGAATACTGAGTTCAAGGCTAGCCTGGACCATGCAGAGAGACCCTGTCTCAAAACAAAAACAAACAAGAAAACAAAAGAATGCTTTAGACGTTATTCTGGATTTCAAGATAATGATTTTAAAAGGGCATCCTAGGAACAATAAATAAAACTTTACATCTATTAATAACAGAAAATATCAATGCCATTGGCTACCCCACATTTTTCTGGCATGTGAGAATTTTCTTTTTCTTTATAATCAACTCTTACACTATAACTTTTCTAACTATATTTCATCACGTATGTGTAAGTGTTCCTAATTATCTGCATGGTGCCAAAATCACCACTATCTATGTCGGTAATATACGTTATAAGGCAGTTTTATGAATTCCATGCATTTTAAATCATCTTGGACTATTTACTGATTTTGTGCCAGGCACTGTGTTAAGTGGTTAGGGATATGACAGAATAAGTACAAAGCCAAAATGACCTTTTTCATCACAGAGCAGAGGAGACAGGGATGGCAGGGTGCAGAGTGGAGTGTAAATTACCAAAATGTGAGTAGATAAGAATGGGAGCAGGGAGACCTATCTGAGAAGAGATGACTGTATCAGAAAAGGCCACTGCTGTGGTCTTGAATGTCTGGCCCCAAATTAATATACTAGAACTAGGGCCAGGGCCAGCTGAGCGGCACTGTGCCTGCCTCTCAGGCACAAAGTACTGAGTCCGATCCCCGGTACCAGGGGAAAAACAAGTAATATACTAGAACTTAATGCAAAGGTGGTAGTAGTAAGAGGTGAGGACTTTGGAGAAGTGACAAGGTCATGAGGCTTCACCTTCATGAAGAGTATGTTCTTATTAAAAAAGGTTGAAGGAAGAGCCCTGGCCCTTCCTGCCATATGAACATGGACACAACAAGCTTTGAAGAGAGTAAGTACTCATCAATACTCTAATTTTTTGGCACCTTGATCTTGGACTTCCTACTTCCAGAATTGTCAGAAAAAATTTTGTTACTTATGAGTAAGTCACCCAGTCTACGATATTTTGTTATAGCAGCTGGAATAGACTTAGCCTCTTCTAGGAGTTAAGTGTAAGCTGAGACCTAGAATGAAAAGAAGCTAGCCATGATAAGAACAGAAAGAACATTCCAGACAAGGAATAAAAAACACAAAGGGGCTGTGGTGGGAAAAACACTTGGTGTGCCTGAGTGAGCGAAGAACATCACACATACACGCATGCACCTCAAAGACAAGACTTACGAGATGAGCCCACCAAGAGAGGTAGGACCAAATAATGTAACGGCCATATAATCATCATTTTTGGGTATCTTTATATGATTTAATCCAGTCTTCTGTGATTTTGCTTTAAGTTTAAATTCATTTTAGCTACTACTGCTATTAACTTTGCCACATTACTACCAGTTTTCTACAGTAAACTTCTTTTAAACTGTGAATGCATTATTTAAGAGGAAAAAAAGGCAACTAGGTTAGGATGAGTCATACTAAGAGCCTGTTCATGGAGAGAAAATATATACTAAATTGAGAGACAAGGGTAAAATAATAGTGAGAGTAACTAATGAAACTGGGGCCAGTAGAAAGGAGCAAGGAAAAAAAAATGGTAAGGTTCAAGTTAAATCAAGTATTTCTAAACTTATTCTCAAATCTGAATGGGTGGATATGGCTGTATAAAAATGACAGACATTCCTAATTAAATAATGTACTCATCTTTGTGTAGATTTCCAAATTTCTAATATGCCTAGTTTAGTTCTGTAACTTATACTCGAATTTGTGTAGTCAATGTGTATTAAATATCATCTCTTTGCTAAACAGTGTGCCAATCTAGACCCCTGACCTATAAAGAAAAGGGTCATAGTACCCATGCTTATACAGACTACTCAAGCAGGGAAGACAGATTTCTAAAAAATTAAGTGGTTCAGCAAAGTAATTAGAAACTGTGAAAAGTGCTATGAGAAAGAAATAGAGTGTTAGAATAGAAAATAAGAGTCGACAGGTGCCTACTTTAGATAGGGTGTGAGGAAAAAGTGCTATCCAAGCTGAGAAGTGATGGAGCAGAAGCACCAAGCCATGCAGAAAGCTGGGAGATGAGCTGCCCACGAACAGGAAACATCACGCTCAATGGTCCAGAGGCGAGAAAGGCCATATAGCTGGAATGAAGTGAGAGAAATGAGAAAGAAGAACAGTGGCTGTGAGCCTGAGATGAGGAGGGACACAGGGGTCAGACTGGGTAGTACTCTGTAGGTCACGGTGAATTTTACTTTTCATTTTAAGTGCAAAGTGAAGCCACTGAAGAGCTTTAAGCAAAGAAACAACATGGTTTGAGCTACACTGTAAAAAAAAAAAAAAAAAACCTGAAAGTTCCAGTTCTGGTTAATAATGGAATAGCAGATGTTACACAAAGCCTCCTAGAGATTATAATGATAAACTCTGGAAAAAAAATTTAAAAAGCAGTCTGAGGGTAGCTCAGTAGTTAAGCATGTGCTTATTATAGCATGCACAAGGCCCTGGGTTTGATCTTCACCACCAAAAATACATATTTTATACATTCTCACACACACACACACAAAGCAAGTGTCTGGAGGTACTGAAAGCAACTAAAAGCATGCAGAAGCAAGAAAGGATTCAACCACAGAAAGAAAGGAACACATCCTGGGGATGTAGTTCAGCAGCACTTGGCTGCCTGGCAAGCACAAGGCCCTCAGTGTGAGTCCTGGTACCCACCCCGCCACTAAAAGGAACACACACTGAACGAAACACTTATTTATATGGCCTTCCCCACAATGCATACAATGCAGAGTGGCCAGAACTCAAGTAGAAAACTATAGTAGTCTTGCTGGCTTGTGGAATCAAAGGAGAAATCTCACACTGTTAGAGAAGCTGGATATTGAGGAAGAGTATCTTGCAAAGACGAATCACAAATAGGGGAGACCCAATCTGTATATAAACTATCCTCAAATTTCGGCTGAGTCCTGAACAATGCATGTATAAGAGGGTTCCAAGGAGGTGAAGGAGAAAATGACTGCTGAGAGGTTGAAGAATCTGCCACTGCAGGAGAGACAGTTTGGTGTTCAATTTTACCAAATGAGGAAGACTTGTGAACACTTCAGGTTTTTTCACTGAAAGTTCAGAAGGGCTGCTTGTGCTTCAGAAGTGATGGCTGAGTACTATACCATAGGAAGACCCACATACCCATATTTACTGCAGCACAGTATACACCAGCCAAGTATGGAACCAGATTAGGTGCCACCAACAGATGGATAAAGAAAATGTGGTATGTATACACGATGGAATATTATTCAGCCATAAAGAATGAAATTAAGCTGTCTGCAGGAAAATGGGTAGAACTGAAGATCAACATATAAACAAGAAGAAACCAGACTCAAAAAGACAAACATCACATTTCCACTAATATACAGAACAAAAACAACAAAACCAGAGATGACATGACAGTAAAAGTGAGACTATTATTAGACAAGGAAAGAAATGAGGAGGAGGAAGGAAGTGTAAGGAAAATAATAGGGGGATGGACACAGTCAAAATATCTTACATGCATGTATGAAAAAGAAAAAAGAAACAAAAATTACAATGGAGAGTAAAAACCAAAATGATAAAATGTTAGCAACTGGGGACTAGATAAAGCGTACATGGTATGTCTGCTGACCTATTACTTAAACTGCATACAGAGTTGACATATTTGAAAATCAAAAGGTTGGAGGGAAAACGGGAAAAAAAGAAGTATAGAAGTAGTAGTAGGAAAGACTGAATTCAAGATAAAGACAGAAAGGTACCTAATGGATTTGTCAGTATGAAAGCCTTAAATGACCAACTCAGAAACCATGTCAGGGTAGGAACCAGGAAGAGAGAGAAAGCAGAGAAGGCCAATGAATGAATACATTACTCTTTATAGCAGTTATGCTGTTCCAAGAAACGGGGTTGTATCTGGAGAGGAAAGTTTTATTGGTAAAATGGGAAATACTAGAGAAAGTTTATAGTCTTAAAATAATGATACAATGGGGAGCAAGAATGAGATGAAATAGAAGAGTGAAGGAATACAGGGTGATTCACAGGTAAGCAACATCACCTGGAGTTTGTTAGAAATGTACATGCTCCAGTTCCACCCCGGACTTACTGAGTCAGATCCTGAATTTTAACAAGTCCCATGTGATTCTTATGAGCATTAAACTGTGAAAAGAATTGAAGCAGAGAAACAATGACCATAAAAAAGGAAGAAAGAGGAGCTCTAAGGTAACAAATAGTAGGGAATGTGCCTATGACAGGAAAGGGGAAATTTTCTCCATTCTAATGGCAGGAAAAAAAACGAAGAGAGACAATGAGTGATGATGCATGTAAGTTTCACATGCTAATTCCCACCTAATGGCTTTCCATCTCTGGTCTCAAAACATGGATGAGGCAAGCAAAGTCAGCTGACAGTAACAGAAAGTCTGAGGATTACACATGAAACAAAATAGCCATCTTGAAGTATCAGAGCCAACTTCCCAGGGTCAAACTTTAGACAACCAGTTGAGTGGCTGATGTCCACTTGAAATTTGTGCTTATGAATTTAAAGTGAAGCCAGATTCCTTATGTAAATTCTTCCAGTGACACATCTCCATAGCCGCAGATAGAGATAAGATGGACAATCAAGCAAAACCATCTGGGCCATTACCAGATGATTAACAAGGGAGGAAGAGACAGAAAAACTGAGAGGATTATGAGAATATAAAAACAGAAATATGACGTTTATTGAGATTTTAAGAAATTAACAGGCTCAATGATTTGGAAGTTATGACAAAGTTGAACATCTTTGTGGGTTTTTTTTTGTTGATTAACCCAAGGCCTCATGCATGCCAAGCACATACTCTACCAAAAGGGGAAAATTTTTAATAGTGGGAACTAAAAGAAACTGAGCTGCAAGGATAGCACAAACTGTTCCAGAATGGGAAGTTTGCAATGAGATGTGAAGGTCACATAGCTTCTGACAATAAACAGGTCTACAATGGGAGGGTGATTCTCTACAGCTGAGGAGGAATGGAGAAAAATATCACTAAATATGAAGAAATAAAGGAACTCCAGGGCAGAGTACTGACATGGATAATGATAATAATAGGTAGGTGGTTTTTTCCACTTAGCTTCTTATGACAACTTCAAGCAAGCATTTAAGGAAGGATAACTCAAGATTCAACCTCCTTTAAATCCTGCCCACAATTAAGTTTATTTTCTTTGGATAATAGTTGTAAATAAAAGTGGATGAAGATGTCTTAAATACTCAAAACTGACAAAGGAGTGGTAAACTCACAACTTAAGCATCTTCAAACAAAACCATAGTTCCACAAAAGCTTTGGAAAAAAAAATCAATATGATTTTCTGCACCTTAAGTAAAGTGCAGACTTACTTAACAGGAGTGTGAAAATTACTTTACTCCTGCATTAAAAATATTTATTGAACAGTCACTGTGTACAATTCAATTATGAATGCTCTAAATTTGGAAAAATGTGATCTAAACTAGATAGATCATTTTAAGTACAATTATAAATACTGCTGAGTATATAAAAATCCATTTTCATCATTTTAAAGCTGTTTTTTTAAATTTAAAAAGTTAGTAAACTGTACAACTTCAGCTTTCACTTTGATTTAAAACAAAGAGTAATGGAATGGTAATACATAATTTAGGATTTCTGTTTTTCTGGTTATTAGACTTATTTTTACTCAAGTAAGTAAGTAAGTGTAATCTTACCTTATTTATCCAGTACATGACAGCATCCTCAATATCATAGGGCAGATCTGTGGCTTGGAAAAAAGCTGAATACTGTTGAGCACACGCAATTACTTTTTCTACACTGACCATTTCTACAGTGTAAGCCATCATGAGGGTATCTATCATGGCCAAATGTGCACTCTGGAAATACAAAGAACAAACAGTTTAAAAATGACACTTAGAAATTGCTATTTATGGTTTTTAAAATATTAACATTTCCTAAAAGCAGTAAAATAATGCCTATAGAAGACTAGCCTTAATAAGAAAACATAAATCCTACTGGCAAAGCCAGCTAACTGGATGAAGCCAATTTGAATTTTTCTAGAGCCTGATTGGTCTGTTTTGTTACTTCCTGTGCTGTGAATTCTGAGTGTTCTGGAGGTTCACTATCAGACTTCTCATCCTCCTTTGCCCTACTGTTTGCCATTGGTGGACTGGAAGTCTGTCTCTGTGGCTTGCTTAAGTGTTTTCTCATCTTTATTTTTGCTGTTGGGTTGTCTTTGATTCAATCTCTGTGTCATTAAGTTTTCCTGATATTGTTGCTTCCCAGCCTTTGATTCTCTAGTGACTCATGGATGAAACCAACTTATTCTTTAAACACTTACTGAGGATCTATATGTCAAGATACTCATTCTCTAAGATGCTTCTTTTCCTATTTTTTTTATAATGTCACAATCATTTACTTTTACATCATTACAACTTACAAACTTCAGAATCGCCTGATAGGTTTTCCTTACTTTTTACATTCACATAGCAAAAATTTATAGACCCTATTACTAAAATGTCTCTTCTTTATTCTGATCGCCACAGCTCCAATTCAGACATTTCTCACAACAGAGCAAGGCAAAAATCATTTCACTGGCTTTCCTGTCTCCAATTTCTTCCTCATCTAATTCATTCAGCACAGAATTTCTAGTCTTCCTTTGTGTTTTTAAAAAATATGTACAAAATTGTTATATGGTGATCCACATGATGCCAGGCACTTCAAATGTATACCAAGTAGAAGTGCTCCTCTCTCCCAGTTCTACTTTCCTAGCAATATCTTGAGTTTGGTATATTTTCTTACCAAAAAATTTAAGGCACATAAAATAACATTTACATTGTTCCCATCTTTCACATTATAAACAATGCTACAATACTGTTCCTCCAAGTATTATGTTTACATTAAAGACTTAGTTACCTTCCTATTTTCTCCATCTAACTGGGTACCTGGCAACTAGCAGGAGCTGAAGAAAGAAGCAAGGTGCCTGTTGGCTACTATAAACTAAAGAGCTGGCCTTACTCCGGAGGCAAGGGAGTGAATTGTGACTATATTAGAAGGGTGTAGGCAGAGCTTCTAGAACATTTAGCAGTACAGTGGTATCCCACTATTTGTCATTAACCGGTTTTGGGAGGTGCAAAGAGTACCAACAATGACAAGTACCCAACAAATTCTTCTGGCTGGAAAGAGCAGTGAGTCATGAGGCAACTGACACCAACAAGTTCTAGCTTGCATGCTGAAGACCAAATAAATGATGAGCACCGGTATAAGATTTTCCATTCAAAATATACAGAGTAGAAAATTTGATGAGTCTGACAGCAGTCGAATACCAAGGTATACCTGTATTTATAAGAAGGCAGATGCTTTGTCTGAAGCAGACTCTTCATAAAGCCAAGGGTGGCTCCTACTTATGAAGTAACTTACATGCCAGTTGTTGTTTTTAAGTATATCATCTTATTAATATATTAGCTCTTCCGTCTCAAATCTTTTCTGGCTGGAGAACATAGTAAAACACACTCTCCGTAATCCTCAGAATTCTTTGAAGGAAGTAACATCTGCATTTTAGCTGGCTGTAGTAGTGCACACTACACTCGTAGCTCCAGCTGTTCGGGAGTCTGAGGATCACTTAAGCCCAGAGGCCAGCATAGGCCGACATAGTGAGAGCCAGCCTCAAAAAGAGAAAAAAAGAAAAGAAAAAGGCAAAAGGGAAATGAAAAAGAAAGAAAAAATAGCTGGAGATTTAGCCCAGTGGTGCTACCACCTGCCTTGCAAGCACAAGGCCTTGAGTTTGACCCCTGGTACCAAAAAACAAAACAAAACAAAATAATTTTTATGCATGAATCAAATGAAATTTGGACAATTAAGTACTCTGTCCAAATCTATGTGCTCTTTCTACTATATCAGACAGTAGGAGTCAAAGTCATTTAGGTACAAAGAAAAAAATGTCTTATGAATGATAAAGAGACATAATTTGTGAGAAAGAAAAATAAGCATCAATAATTATTTCAAATTAAAATCGTATTTTCATACTCTTATCTTCTCCATGAAGTCTCTAGACAGCTGCTGTCCTATCTCCTAGTCCTTCCTTCAGACTCTGAGTGACACATCCTCTCACTAAAGTCACTTATCTCTGGGTGCCTCTCAATTACACTCGACCCCTAGACAGTACAGTGTGTCTTTTCCCACACTGTTCCCGGAAAAGGGTTTGTGGATGAAATTTCTTAGTAAATTAGCATTTAATTGCATTAAAAAGCACAATTCTTTTGGACAGAAATGTGGGATAACATTTCAAGAGTCATAAAACAACTCATACACCCACGATTCCTCTAGGAAACTGGTACAGATATATGAAAGAGGGGGAAAGAGCTGTTGAATAAAAATGATCATCCAACCATAATGGGTAATTTATGTTTAGCTGCAACAGGTGAAATGTATCCAATAAGGAAGGAAAACATCGTATTATTATGTTATATATGTGCATATATATATATATATACACACATATATATATATATATATGTGTGTATATATATATATATATGCACATATATAACATAATAATACGATGTTTTCCTTCCTTATTGGATACATTTCACCTGTTGCAGCTAAACATAAATTACCCATTATGGTTGGATGATCATTTTTATTCAACAGCTCTTTCCCCCTCTTTCATATATCTGTACCAGTTTCCTAGAGGAATCGTGGGTGTATGAGTTGTTTTATGACTCTTGAAATGTAAAATACACACAAAAAAATCAGTAGTTTCCTTCAAAAGCTGGGGTAGGACAGTGAACACCAAGTATAATTACCGACACATTTTCAGAACAAAGCTCATTTCACTGACTAAATTCCTAAATTAAAAAAACAAAAAGTACTCTGTTGTGCTTACAGTTATTTTTATATGATAGTCACTCACTTTAAGAACTTCCACATTTTATTATGTTTTTAGTACTTTAAACAGAAATGTATGTATAGCAGTAAGTACGGCCTGTGGCCAGCGGGCGACCTGGGTGCCAGGGATGGCCGCTGCCTCTGTCCCACAGGCCCTGGGGCCCTCACTGTGGCTATGAACTGGGTGGGGCCAGGCTTCCGAGCTCTGCTGAACTGCAGTGTTTTCTCCGAGCCAGGACACCTAAGGCTGCTGATTCTCCAAGTTTAAACCTGCCGAACTAGGTAGGCAAAGCTCTTGCCAGGCCCCCGAGGACATGATGACAGCATGGCACAGCCAGAACAATGGCAGCCTCCCCAGCTCTGCAGAGGGCCGTTACCTACAGAGCCTAGAAAGCCATGTGAGGCCGCAGAGCTGTGCAGATCTGGGTCCTGCGTGGCTGCTGTCTCACTTAGAGGAGACCTCACCTCCTTCTGACCCGGAAGGACAGAGGCCTGACCCATCCTGGAGGGTAAGTAGAGCCTAGGATGTCTGCGGGTAGAACAGTTAGCAGGCTTGCCCTGGTTGGTCTTTTTTTTTCCCCAAAGAGAGAAACAGTATTTGCTCAAATGATAATGCCCATTGCCCTTTGGGAAGACTCACTGCTCATCTGCAGAACTCCTGTGTACATCATATGAAACGCTGTCCTCAACAACCTTCTCCCATAAGCTTTTGCTGCCTTGGGACTTTCTAGATGTAAAGAGGTTGACAATATAGGAGAGTTAGAAAATCCCACGTCTTGTCCACATCTATTTTTCTTTTTTTAAAAAAATCACAAAAAAGAAATGTCTTCTGGAAGTGACTTTTTGAAATGGAGCTCATTAGACCACCTGGAGAAGAGATCCCAGGAGTCCATGTTTGTTCAGTGGGTTAGCGAACAAGGAACAGAAGATGGAAGAGAAGGTCCAGTACCAGATGGACATGCAGAAGACTATTCATATTACCACCTTTGTTTTGTATGTATGCATTTTATTCTTCATTACTATGTATAAAGTTGACAGTGCCAAGTACTTTTTTGAAATAGCCAATCGTTCTAGATGCCCTCAAGTACCTGATACATGCTAAGTAGTAGTAAAATAATGCACTTAGTACTTTTTTTGGTTAGTGCACATGAAGAGTTTTTTGTGGGGGAAGAGCAAATCCCTTCTCCTAGAGTACTACACATTATGTCTGGTTCTAGGAAGAGAAAGAAATGCATAGAGCGCTAAAAGCGAGTTAAGAACAACCACTGTCCTTCATGTCTGCATTTTGTTTTACTTTGCTATGTAGGTAGTGTATGTAAAGGACAAGTGAATTGTAATTTATAATATTTAGTCTTCCTAGATATTAAACAGGTCACAGTGTATGACAAATTTGTTTTCATTTTGTGCAAAAATTCCTAGGAAAGACTGTCTTCTGAATATTTGAGCATTTTAGCTCACTGAACTGGTAGGCCAGGTTAAGGTTTCTAGGTCACAGTGCTCATATTTTGAAGACATTTTCAAATTCTAACTACTGTTACATGTGTGCATTTCACTCAACTGTTATGTATATATAACAGACAAACAATCATATTTAGACATTTAGAAGTGCCCACCCTATGTTAAACATGGAGGTAGTAAAATACCACTTTGTAAATTTTTTTTGCTAAAATGTATACAAAACATTGTCTTTTGGAAATGGAATTTTAAAACCACCTCTGAGTAATATGGCACTGTCTGTAGTTATCCAATGGTTTGGAAGAGAGGGAAGCAACTGCACAAAGTAGTGTGTTAGTGCATTTTTATATGGACATCTTCGACACTATTTTCCCATATGTTTTGTAGGTCTGGTTTTGTTTCTGTGTATACAGTACACAGTATATAGTGTATATAGTGAGTATATGTAGTACATATATATTGTTTGTGTATACAGTACACAGTATATAGTATAATGAGTATATACAGTATATGTATTGTGCATACAGTACACCAT